GGTGAAACAGAATGGACGTCAGGAGCTTTTAGGGTCATCAACCGAATCCGCTCACTTCTCCGAGAGCCGTGCTATATAAAACCCGTACTATCCCGTGGACAAATAGAGAAAAGTTTAAGTTAGTGTTCTGTTCTAGCGGACCAATAGTGAAACTTTTAACGAAAAAATTAATGTTGTACGCGGAAGTCGAATTAACTCGACTCTCGGGGGGGGGGGGGGGTAAGGGGGGTGTTCTTAAGGGAGGAAGGAAGGGTCGTGGGTCTTCTTAAGCAGTGCTTTTGAGGATATCTGATTTTGGTCGACTTATGCACGAAAGTTGATTGTTGTACGCAAAAGTCGAATAAAACTCGAAAATTTGACGTTTTGTCTGATCCCCCACCCCCATGGGAAGGGGACCCCCAACTTAAGAATCACGGTTCAGAGTATCGGACACCGCTGTCCACTCAACTAGCATAGTAGAAATTTTGTACGCGATTTTCGAAACAACCTGAACCTAGCTTCCTAACTATGATAGTTGGACCAGGCGTTTTCCTCGTGAAAGGATGTTGTCTGTTGACATATTTCGATCTTCAGATCATCCACCAAGAACGCGTTGTTATTCTGTATTCAGAAACAAAACAAATTGTAGTTAAATACCATGCAGATGACCATAAAAGGCTACATAAAATGTATTATATGGTCAATACAAAATATCGTATTTCGGTATAAAACGTATTTAGAAAAGAACAAATAAACTGCAAAATGTCGTATTTCTAAAAAAAAAATTCGTTTTAGGACTGTGCTTATAGGTTGATAAAATCGTTTTAATACCAGATTACTTCATCGAGAGTTATAAAATAGAGTTAGGTTGGATATTGTAATGCATATCGGGTGACATATTGAATATTTTTCGATTTAACCGCTAACATACTTATCTGTGATGAAAGGTGACGATGATGCACCGTATAAACCCGCGTAAATGGCGCCCCTCCAGTTCAGTAGCAATTCAGAAGGACCATAAAATCGGTATTATATGAAATTTCACCAATAATTGTAGTTATTGTTTTTTGTTTTGCTGGAAGCAACTCGTTTGTCACATGGCAGTGCTTCATCGAAATACGACTTTTTGACATTTCATTTTTTTTATCGAATCGGGTTACGAGATATCAACACATGACCATATGAATAGTTTTTATTGGGCTAGATATACGACTCTTAGATCAAAAGATGCGCCATGCAACGCGGATTCTGAAAAAACAAAAAAAGTGCATTTCGAAAAATTTGCCACATACGACCTTTTGACTCCCCACCGACGGTATGTAGGATACGAAAACAAGAATGAAGATGCTCATAAATATCGCTTCCTGAAAATAATTTATTAATAATGAAGCGGATATGAAAGATATCTAGAATATACACACATATACATAATCGAACAAAACAATTAAACAAAAATTACATAAAAGATTGTGTGGGGTAGTCATTATAAAGTTGTATAAAGTGTCTTGAATGCATCTCACTTATAATCCAATATATTATAATGTTGTGTTGATAACCTTTTAATTGAGCATAACTGCTCGTCGACTCCTCGGTTCTAAATGGATGGGTTTCATTTATTATGAAAAACGAATGACAAAAGAATTATTAGCAATGCCCACACATTAGTTAGAAAATCATCCAAGCATCGGATTATTCATTTTGTAAATTCTCAAGCTCGTGCTCATAAAAATATATCTTCCTGCTAGAAAACAATCCGATTTAATTCTTGCACGAACTGACGCCTCTACTAACATAGCAGGACAATAAGAAACTGTGGATGCATTACATAAAACATTTTAAATAGAAAAACAAAATTAATATAGTTAAAAGTGACGATGCGTAATTGACATTTATCGCTAAACTATAAAGTCTCGCATGGCTTAATCTTCGCTTTTATGTACTCAGATTAATTATTTAACATAAATAAGAAAGTAAAATAAAAATACTAATGCTCGATATTTTCCCGGCTTGGATTCAATCATCCAGTACAATAATAATAACGAAATAAATCGGCCTATAAGGAAGTAAATGGCAACCCGTTTTTATTAACGTTCGTTGTTTTATTTAAAAACAAATAACAGACACAATTCACAATTATTTTTTTTGCATACGTTTATTTTGTTTTGGTTTTGGTTGCTGCTTCCTTTGCCGTGTAGCTTTAATGGTATCATTATTACTTTGTGTATGTTTCCGGCCAGTGTTAGAAAATCTTGAAAATAAATTACCCGAATTCACTACGATGACAATAAGAGTTATCGGTCATTATTTTGGCTAAATCTATGGAGCCCATAAAAGATCATTAACTACAAGTCAGGTTGTTGTGAGTGTGTGTGTGTGGTTCGACTACAGGGCGCAATTCTTACTTGATCGTCTTGAAACTCTGTATACTTATTCCTTTTACCCTAAGGATAAACCCTATTGTTTTGGTGCATGCCCGAACCCCAGGGACAGAGCCACGCCCATTATTGTTAATTGTTTGTCATATACGGGATTGTCTTAAAACTTTGTATACTCATTCACTATACCCTAAGGATGATCCCTATTGTTTTTGGTGCATGTCCTACTCCCAGTGGAAGAGCCACGCCCATTTTTTGTATTTGTTTGTCATCTACAGGACGCATTTCTTAACGGATCATCTTGATACTTTGGATACTTATTCCTAATACCCTAATAATCACCCCTATTGCCCAACCCCCACGGACGTGATTTAGCTTCAGCTCATTAGATATCGGGTGATTCCGTAATTGCGGAAATCCGAATGCGTTTTTTCTAATGTTATTTGTTACTAAAACTTTTAAAAAATCAAAAAAATAATTCTGAAATACCTTACACAATGAACTAAGTAAATAATAAAATTAAACTTTTACTATAACATTCTCCTTTAACTTAAACATGCAGACAACAGTAGTTATGACATACAGTATATTTAACTTGTTCTTTTGATTTTGAACCAAGTTTATTTAAAAATTAAAGGATAAAAAAACTATAACTAGTCTGATTTGTTTTATTAAAGATAATAATAGAACTGTAGTTATTGTTCTTATAGATTCTGAAATCAATAATGAATTAAATCATTGCATATCATTTCTTACATGCTCTTAACAGACAATATGTTCCGTTAAACATACATTATGCAAGAGCTAAATCTGCAGGTCTTTCTTTGGTGCTAAAATGTTATAATATAAATTATTAATTAGACATTAATTAACGTATCCAGACCAACTCTCGATGGCATCGCTAGCCTCTGATCTTTACTGGATTAGAACCCGGTCTGCTGCTTCTGATTAAATCAAAAATGGATAATCGAGACTATGTATTTTAATCGTACCGACTTTAGTAATAATGATCGAGGATGGGCCTAAAATTCAATCGCTAAAATCTCGGTTCAAAGTGGATCAAATTGGCTGAAATTTTCAGCATATTCTCGTTACATTATTTAGTTTTTAAATATTATAGTTATCTTATCTTCCATAATGCTCCTTGAATTTACGTGTACACAGGACACACTGTGTTATTTACAACCCGGTCCGAACATAATATACTGTAAAACATACATTAATGTAATCTGGGATTTTTATTGTAATTTATAATCAATTATGATAGGTGTAATACGTTTGCACGGGAATTTGTTTATCGTTTGTGAATCAACCATTTTTAATTATTTCCGCTTTATCTTTTAGGATAATTTGTTCCTTGTTCATGACAAATATCCTGCGAAACCTTTATAGCCATCAGGGCCGTAACTAGCCCAGAGCAACGGGGAGTGGGGGGGGGGGGTCTCGGGGGTGCGGTAAATTTGACTGACCATGTATAATCTATGGTCGTTTTTTTTCACGGTGGCGGGGGGCGACGGGCCTCAAGGCCATAGATTTTATTCTAATTTATGTTTTAAATTTCTAATATCAGTATGGATAATAATGAGTAAGAGGTTCAGCCCGTGTAAGTATCATAATGTCGCGGTGGGGTAAATCATCGGATTTGATAATTATTGTGTTTGCATGGGAACAAAATTCTCAGTCGAATTATTATTTTAATTTCTGATGACCGTCCTTCCGTCCTGATTTCGTTTCCAGAGCATATTTCATTATCCGTTCAATAAATCTTTTTGACACTTTGTAGGAACTTCAAACTATTATAGTATTTTATTTTGATGTATAAGGGGGTTTGGACGGCCGATTGGTCAACGCGTGCGCGCTGTATCATAAGGTATGTCATTGAGACAACTGGCGTGGTTTCGATTCCCCAGTGGTACCTGACAAGGAGTAGGGTTGCCTGTCCAAACTCGTGGGTTTTTCTCTGGGTCCTCCAGTTTCCTCCCACTGCTAAAGACCCCTACGCGCAAGCGAATTATTGAAATAAAATTTAACCATGTGTTAGTCCCGAAATGACCTAGTTTGTGTCGAGTGAACGTTAAGCCCATCTCCCCCCGCCTCTCTCTCTCTCTCTCTCTCTCCCTCTGTTAACAGAAGTTGATAAACAGCGTAATGAAACTTTAATACCGCACTCATGGGCGTAACATATCAGATCGAACCAATTCAGCCATTTATTATGATTCAAATCAATGAATTATTTTCAAAATGGCGCGCTAACAGATATATAAATACAGCAGAATCTGTATTCAACGGCCACTCAAAGAAACTTGACTGAACGTATAACTGGATTTTCTGATATCAAAAAGAATGTTATGCATTAGAACCAACATTTAAAACCCTCAAGTTGTATTATTCTATGTTTTGATGGGAGTTTTTTTAACTCTTAAATTTCTAATTCTATAATCAATAAATACATCTAAATCCCCAAGAAATATCAACGAGTGATCAGCACGTCCACATGTGTATAATGTCTTTACATCGATGTTAATGGTTACATATCAAATCGTTCTATTAATTACAGATTTGTAAATTTTAAATGGTTATAACTTACGATAGTATGGAGCAATTTCAATATCTTCAGTCTAACACATCAATACCTTTAGTCCAACACATTTATTGTAGCAAGAGTACTTTATATTTACAGTATTGTTACACATTTTCATTTGAATTAATTGCCATTTGTCTCACGAAACCGTTTTAAAATATTTCATTTGTACAATCTAGAATATTTCACAGAAACTATAATACATATTCACCCCCATATTGCCGTTGGGCTTTTCATAATTGGTGGAGATGGAATGAAAGAACTACCCCGACGTCTGTCGCCGTATTTGAAAGGATTGTTGGCACTGTAGCCTGGTGGTTTTTGGGGCATCATAGCTTCGTAGGGAATGGGGTTGCTTCCAAAGTTCGGAGGAAGGTTGTAGTTAGCTTGTGGTAGGCCTTCATTGTTGGGAGTGTTAATATTTTTGAAATTCATGCTGGTTAAAGAGATGTCCGCGCCATAGTTTCTCGGATTGCCAGCTCCATAATACGGATTCCTAGCAGCAAAACTGGGATTCATTTTGGGAGGCTGGTTGTTTTGAACGTTATTTGGAGCTCTGTGCGACATGGACCCGGGTGGTGTTCGGCCATTATATGAATTTCCACCAACTTGAAATGGGGTTATGTTTGCCACGTTTCTACGATTAGCATACAAAGGGCGATTATTCATGGCATAATTCGGATTGTTCATTCCATTTCCCGCTGGAGGATTGTTCAGTGCGAAATTGGGGTTGCCTGTTGGAGATCCGTTCATTACAAAATTTGGGTTGCCCGCTGGAGGATTGTTCATTGCAAAATTTGGGTTGCCCGCTGGCGGATTGTTCATTCCATAATTTGGACTGTCCGCTGGAGGTCGGTTCATTGCAAAATTTGGGTTGCCCGCTGGCGGATTGTTCATTGCAAAATTTGGGTTGCCCGTTGGCGGAATGTTCATTGCAAAATTTGGACTGCCCGCTGAAGGTCGGTTCATTGCAAAATTTGGGTTGCCCGCTGGCGGATTGTTCATTGGAATATTTGGGTTGCCAGCTGGCGGATTGTTCATGGCATAATTTGGATTGATGACTGTTGGGCGGTTGTTGGTTTCATAAATTGGAACGGGTGCTGGACTTCTGGCGCCATATTGCTGGCGGGGGTTGGTGACAACATGGCTAGTAGGAATAATGTAGCCGTCACTGTTGAGGGCGTGACCAGGTGGTACTGGAGTGCGATAGGTAGGTTCATACGTCTCTTGGTATGGTTCGCTTGGCAATTCAAGTGGATCTGCCATACCAAACAGTTCTGTAATTAACACAATATCACAATAAAAGTAGGTATCACAAGGCAAACTAATTGGGTTTTCATTCTAATTAAACCTTAATGTTATTATCGTACTGTGACGACAAGATATGGATCGATTGCCAATTAAATGTCTCCATTACCAAAGCATTGTAAGTCTTTAAACAGGTTTTGTTTGGCCTGGATCTATAAAAATATACCTTTGGACCGAGGTTAAGTCGAATAAATCACTATCAAATAAATGAAATGGGGTTTAACGTCCTACTGTTCTGCTCCTATACTGGGCTAATGAAGACGGGCATACGCCATACAGTGTGCTATGAGGGAAATTTTGCCCGGGCAGCGGCACTATCGCCTACTATATCGAATTCCAACTGCCAAGGGATCTTTTACGTGCATTCCAATGTATACACGGGACCTCGGTTTTTCGTCTCATCCGAAGGACTAGACAGCTGTCCTTGTCAGGCCCTCCGTTCTGCACCACTGACAAGGGGAAACCACGTCGGAAAATCAAGATGAACTTTCTCGGCCAATCACTAGCTATCAAATAATACGGAACGCTATGGTACAGTGACTGTTACAGGGGTCTGTTCAGCATGTTCTTATAAAATTGAATACATTTTTTGTAGCATTGTCAACATGAAGTAGTCTTGAAAATGTCCAAGAGGCTATGGTCTAAAGGTCTAATCATCAGGTCTGTCATTGAGTCAAGTGGCGTGGTTTCGATTCCCCGCTTGTACGTGACAAAGAGTATGGTCGCCTTCCAACCTTGTGGGTTTCCCCTGTGTCATTCAGTTTCCTCTCACTGCTAAAGACCCCGGCGCGCAAGCGAAATATTCAATTAAAATTGAACCATGTGTTAGTTCCGACATTACCTAGCTTGTTAAACCCAAACCCCATCCTCTGTGTCGAGTCGAGTTTCTGGTAACATCCCCATCTCTCTCTCTCTCTCTCTCTCTCTCTCTCTCTCTCGTGTAATCCTAGGGATGATATATTTTAATATTCTTAAAGATATAACATGTAGACCAACAAAGTGCCGAGTAAATTTTGAGTACCTGAATTGTGATGGTGGTGCACTGTACCTGGTCGATGGTAAGGTGAGTATTGTGCATTCACAGAAGCTTTCAACATTACTATAACCATCAATACCAACCTTTTCATTTTTATCTAGCAAATAAACGGAAAAATACAAGATACACATATTTTAAAATGATTAAAACAAACAAATAATCAGAGGTAGTGTTGAATGAACATTAACATTTACATCATAAAAAACAAGACCATCGCTACAGAATACGTCCATATTCCTGCTGTGATTGATATGGTACTTTTTAAAATGAAGAGCATGAAATACGGAATGGCTGCAATGACTATACTATGACAAGAGGCAAAGAAGGCTAAATATTAACAAAACGTTGCTTTATAAAGAATAAATATGCAAATTTCCAAGTTGATCCACTCAGAATTGCAATCTGTAGACGATAAACATAAAAATTGGGCGTGGCTCTGCCTTTGGGGGTTGGATATGGAACAATATAAAAAGGGTACAATCCTGTACTGAAATGAATGATATACTGAATTTAAACAAAATATGTTAACAATTGCAATCTGTAGAGTATCCCGTCTTCATTAGCCCTGGTTAGGAGCAGAACAGTAAAACGTTAAACTCCATTTCATTCTGTAGAGTATTTACAGACAAAAAAATAACAAAAAAGTGGGTGTGGTACTACACCCTTGGGGTTCGGGACATTCACCAAAATATGTAGTTGCTATCCTTACGGTATACAGAATAAATATGCCAAGTTCCAAGATAATCCATTCAGAATTTCAGCCTGTAGACAAAAAACACCAAAAAATGGGCGTGGCCCTGCCTCGGGGGTTGGACATGAACGAATATAAATAGGTACAACTGGGGATCGGGCATGCACCAAAAGCAATAGGGATCATCCTTAGGGTAGAAGGAATAAGTATACAAAGTTTCAAGACAATCCATACACACACACATACCGTCCACATGAAAGGATCTTTCCTATAAATATGCACCCTCAAGTCTCATTCTTTATTACGATAGATAAACTGGCTGATCGCGACTCCGTCTTTATTACGTTAATTTGCACTAACGATAAACCCGCTTATTCTGACTCAATCTTTAGTACCTTAATTTGCACTTACGATAAACCCGCTGATTGTGTTAATTTGCACTCTAGAAAACCCCACTGAATCATTGAATTTTGGGGTCTTGGGGCCGATTTAGGGATAAGTAGATAAATGTCTGGAATGCAGAATATTTATCCCTGGTAACCCTACAGACGCCATCCAAGATTAGCAGTTAAAGAATTGGTCATCATGTTACCACTATTTTACCAACACACCATGGTAAAATTCCACACTCAATATACTTTCTGCATACTTTTTGAATCTATTTGTAGTAATATAATATATTGATAATGTATCGATCGTCATTCTAATTCTCAATGCCTTAATCCACGCTAAATTTAATTAAATTGGATCTCTATTACTTCTAGGTGGAACTTGTTAAAGAATCGTCTTTCACAATATTATAGTCAAAATCGCTCAAAAGATTTCACATTTGTTTAAAATCGACTGCTCCAGTATCAATAGTATTGAAGCCGCTAGATCTTCTTGGCTTTGCGATTGTTTAATCTACACTTCGTTCTTTGTCGAAGTATCGCGTGTGTATCTTCTTTGATTGGCATTTAGTAATTGAACATATTAACACAAGGTACAATTTTATGGATACAAAATTACTGAGTTTAATACTAAGCAACGTTTGGACGAGGATACTCTCGTCTTTATCAGGTGGCAAGATGGATTATCTCAGGCATCAGATCTCGAAAATACTTTTGAAAACCAAACCTCAAACCAATAACCTATCCAAATCCAAGCAGCTAGCACTAAAAAAATTGAAAGCAGACTCCAATATCACCATCATCCCTGCTGACAAAGGTAAAGCTCGTCGAAACGTCGCTTAGTATCAAACTCAGTAATTTTGTATCCATAAAATTGTACCTTGTGTTATCGCGTGTATAGTTTACTAACCAGTTGGAATTGCCCTACGTCATACAGGTTTGTCTACATCTTGGTTTCATGATGCATAATAAATAACGTACGTACATAACACCGCCCCCCCCCCTCCACGAATAGGGATAAAACTAATAAATTAATATTCTAATAATCTACATGTATCTATATTTTCCACTGGTATCTGCTTGTTATATAAAAGTCAGCTTTGTTCATACTTGTCATGTTATATAAACTTGAAAATACAGGATAGAAGATTTACCGCCAGAGCGAGTTCTTATATCACTTATGTCACATTCCTCAATATTTAACCTTCCTAATATAGACCGTGGTCAGTCGTGCAGGACCAAATGACAGAGATTCACCCTTGAACAGTTAGAACTCTTGACAACTGTACTGGTGGTGTGCAGGCAAAATTTCCTTCACAGTAAGCTGCATTGGGTAGGCCAGTTCGCATTAGCCCCAATGATACAGGAAAGAGAGAGAGAGAAATTGGGTTTAACATCCACTCGACACAAACTAGGTCATTTCGGGACTAACACATGGTTCAATTTTATTTCAATAAATCGCTTGCGCATAGGGGTCTTTAGCAGTGGGAGAAAACCGGAGGACCCGGAGAAAACCCTCGAGGTTGGACAGGCGACCCTACTCCTTGTCACGTCAATGGTGCAGGAAGGTGGGCGTAAAACTCCCATTTCATATTTAATACCTGTGTATTGCGACCACGGACAGCACAATTTAAACCTGATAATAAAGCCCAGCTCACAACCCCGCCGTACGTGCTACTACGGTGGGAGTTTTCATAAACCCGTGCGTGAAACTTACGCGTCACTTGCGTTTGTTCGGCACCGTAGAAGATCGCAGACTGGCCATAGAGATTTTTGGTCCTGCACACCCGGTTTCTTGCGTCTGGTCTGCGAGCTACTAAATCCCACGACAAACACGTACGGCGGGTGTGAGCTAGGCTTAATTTGTCTTGAGAAACGGGGTGTGCAATTATCAAAATCAACAGAAATTGGATTGAGACGGCACATGCCTCCCTTGTTTTCTCTGAGCGATCTACCTGTCGAATTGATCGCCGCAAAGGCAGTCAAGGCATTTATTAATATATTTGAATTAATTTTGAAACATTACCGAAGACTAAATTTAAACACTTGTTAAAAATCCTGTAGACCATATTCGCTATTTTCCCATTCAACCATATCAAGGGTTTATCTGAATAAACGCCACTTGGTGGCGAACTCGAAAAGTTGGCACCACCGGGGCAATAACTGGTGGTATGGAGCTGCTCGCTAAACACCTGTCATATGGGCACCTGCGCAATGCTAGGTTGTCTCTAGCTGCTCGTAAAAACTGGAACACTGGGCTAGATGGACCAAAATACTGCTGTAAAGAAATGTGTCTCCTCTCCAATTAAGCAACAAATTGATGAATGGGTCGACCTTGTCGGTGAAAGGTCTGAACCAGTTTTAAGATTCAGCCTGCGACTAACGTCACCCAAGAAAACACATCTGTGACAAATGGGAAAAACAAAATGGTATTATAAAAGGAATTTGTCTCACCTGTTTGAATAATTATTTCACAAAAAATAAAATAATCAACAGTGGGTATCCAAGTAGCACCAAGGGGTATCCAAGTTGTCAATCTACAGGATTTTTACGAGATAAATCTAATTCCAGAATTTAACATGAATGTTAATCAGGACAATGTCTGTACCCCATCTAATATATTCTAGGCCGTACATATCCCTGATAAAAATTTGTTTAAACGACCTTGTTTAGAATAAAGAGCTGCATTGCACGGGTCTTAAATTGTAAGTTTGTTTTTTGTGTCATAAAAATGTTTCTTGTTGTCATAATCACTCGTAATGTTTGACACCTGGACGGCTCGTCGTGGAATTGTAACAAATGTGACACAAAATGTATGAACTTTATACTTTTAACAAATTTTAAATGTTTATTTTTAGTTTTCCCCGGGACAGCAACGCAACGAAATAAATGAGGATAAGTTTTAAATTAACTTCTGTAATTTCCTTCAATTTGGAGTTGGGGTTGGATGGCCGAATGGTTAGCGCGTGCAGCGTTGTATCATAAGGTCTGTCATTGAGTCAAGTGGCGTGGTGTCGATTCCCCGGTTGTATGTGACAAGGAGTAGGGTCGCCTGTCCAACCTCGTGGGTTTTCTCCGGGTCCTCCGGTTTCCCCGCAAGCGAATTATTTAAATAAAATTGAACCATATGTTTGTCACCAAATAAACTAGTTTTTGCCGAGTGGACGTTAAGCTACAAGCCCTGGTTTAGCAAGGATGATCCCATATCAGAAGGTACTTTCATTGGTACTTTTGAAGTAAAAAGCTACCATACAAACATACTTCAACACCAATGATTTAAATGAGAACGGGAGAAAGTTCCCGTGTTGTTCATCCTCACCCCCAACACCCCAAATAGACTTCAACATCAGTTATTCAAATGAGAAGGAGGGAGGGGGAGTTTTCGTGTCGTAAATCCCCAAATATACTTCAACACCAGTTATTCAAATGAGAGAGAGGGGGGGGGGGGGTTCCCGTGTTGTAAGTCCTGACTCCACCCCAAATAAAGCACCAGTTATTCAAATGACAGAGGGGAAGGGGGGGGGGATCCCGTGTTGTAAAGTACTCACTCCATCCAAATATAATAAAATAAACATACATTGTGTTACTCTTCAAATTGCCGTAGTCATGGTTTCAGAGAAGCGCCACCCTATTCATTTCTTTCTAAATATGCTTTGTTGATCAACAAAACTTTATGTTAGTAAGATTTTAAAATGGCTGACGTTTATAATCTATATGATGGATTTATACTCTACTTTATGATCTGACTCTTTGCATATTTTAGATTTTGATATTATGATGGGACACGCTCGATAAACAGTATAGACTTAATGATGCAATGGGGTTTAACGTTGTACTTTGCTGCTCCATCAGGGGGATCACGGTGGTTAAATGGGTAAGACGCTGGCTCGCTAACCTGGAGGTTCGGTTTTCGATAAATGCATTGGCCGAGAAAGTTCATCCAGATGCAGGACGGAGGATCTGTCAAGAACAGCTGTCTAGTCGTTCAGATCGGAGCAGAACAGTAAGACGTTAAACCCTATTTCATTGCTGCTTCATGTGGTCTAATGCTGACCAGTGTACGTGCATTGATAGAAACTTTGCCTGGACAGCAGCACTAAGGTCTACTATTTTATTGAATTCCAACTATCATGTTTGTTTTACGTGTACACGGGCAAGTGTAACCCACTTCTATAAATCAGGAGTCCGGGAAATGAAAAATCTTCCACGTGTCACAGTATTTTACTGGTTTGACTTAATACTGAAACCCACGTGTCACACTACTTTACTGGTTTGAGTTAATACTGAAACCCACGTGTCACACTATCTTACTGGTTTGAGTTAATACTGAAACCCACGTGTCACACTATCTTACTAGATGGGATACCTGGGGGGGGGGGGGAGCAGTTGTAGTCTCGAAATAATAGTGATATATCCAATTATATGATCTTCTATTTTGTTTAACAAGATCAGGTATGAAGTCCCACAAGAAAACAAACATTCGGAATAAATGGACCAGAATTCTGCCCCGTGGGAATACCAATTACTGAAACCTTTCTCCTCTGAATTCCACATATTTATTATATGTAAGTACTTCAAACATCATATAGACATTCTATGGGATAATTGTTATGTTGAGAAAATATTTCTAGTTGTAATAAATCTGTATATCGCTGGGTTTTATGTTTCGAAACAAGACGCAGTGATAGAACAATAAATGTCCGCAATAAGTATTGCTTTATGGTCGAGAGCGAGAGGGCCTTATGCCCAAGTGTTTTTACAATTTATTACGCATGCTTTTACAGTGAAATATGTCCCGCGAGTCCAATATTTTACTAGTGTAAATAATGGCAAGTTGCCCGTACGATTTTTTGAAATAATGGAACGCCAACATCAAAGGTTGACGTCACATCTGTATTTTAAACCACTATAGGAACCAAGTTTAGGTCCATTTTTATCGCTTTAAGATTCTCACTATCATATATTTTGTCGCGTTAGTTCCTTTTATTTCCCGGGTGGGGGGGGGCGAATATCTCATTCAGCTAAAATACGATGTGGTCATATAGTATTTATTGTCGACAACTGCACGAGATGGTACATCCCATCCTCGGTATCCCCAATGCTTTGGTTCCGTTCTACCCCACTATACCCTGGGTTCATCCATAGGAGAGATACGTATTCAAATTATCTACTTGCCTATACACTTGATAGCATATAACGACTTGTAACTGTCTGTTTTGACTGACATAAAACATGTTTCCCATCAAAAAGATATGTTAGGACATCTTTTTGTGTACATGTCACTTCTTTCTTCCAAACTTTCTAATAATCCAGCGAACAAGCCGCCATATTGTTTTGAATGTAAACAATGAGGCTAAAACTGGTTTGTAAAAACTACGATCAAGGGCAGGTAATTTGAAAACGTGAATTACGTCATGCAGTGTGCTGTAAGGAAAATTCTGCCCTGACTGTGACATGTCCGCCTACTCCTGACCGAACTCCAACTGTTAAGGGCTCATCCACCAGCGTATACATAGGGCCCCGGGGTTTCTTCCCATCCGAACGAATAGGCGATGGGAAACCCAAGTTAAAGACTCCCGAGAAAACCAGGGCGTGACTCCGCGAAACAACGACATACTATCTTTTAATTAGGGACGTTAAAGGCGAATAAAATGATGCAGATATTTTAGAATATAAGACGTTTGTGTCATTTACCAAGAGGGAAAATTTGCCCGGACAGCGGCCTACTTTTATATCGAATTCCAACTGCCAAGGGATCTTTTACGTACAAGCCAATGTATACACGGGACCTCGGTTTGTCGCCCCATCCGAACGACTACACAGTTGTACATGTCAGCAAAACAAATGGGTTTTAGCATCAATACAAGGTTATTATTCTCAATGGCCACCTTACTTGAAATCTCCCGAGGTAGCTCTTGACAGTAGGGAACCGTTTGATAGGTGGTGACCTTACTTTGAATCTCCCGGGGTAACGCTGGCAATAGTTAAAGGAGTTAATCGTCACGTGTTATTATAAAGGTCAATAATATTATTACGTGGGGGGTGGGGGTCCGACCCTTGACATCACAACTAGTTTGTTGGATATTCAGTGCTTTATAAATAAATTATTATTATTATTAAAAGATGATGGGTCAGTTGGTTTCATAAAATACTATTTAATGAATTATTATAACACGTTTTGTTGTGTACTATTTATTTCTTCAGCCAACATATATATTATTTTAATGACAACAACCAATTTGCATAATTAACATGAATATCTTACAAAGTCTCATTATATAAAATAAGATTCTTCTTTTCTTCTGTCACCTTATTACAGTACAGTCTAACGAAATAGCTTAATAAATTATAACACATGGAAAACAGCTACTGGTTTATTTACGCCACGTTTAGAGAATGCTCATCGAAACGTCGCGTAAATAAATCAGTAACTGTTTTCCATAAATATATGTTAAAGTTTATTAAACTATCCAGTTACTAAATGCCACTAAATGAATATTAAATAGCTAAAGTATTCTGATTTGACCGGGATGGGGCCAATAATGTTGATCTACAAACATTTGACAATAAAATATACTGCCATTACTGTAAATGGTTTTTACTAATGGTCTAAATTGTCCTGGTCAACATATTAGTATCCAAACGGTAGTAATTACGTAAAGTTACTATGACAGCAAGGTGCTCCACCACTATTGGTTGTCTATTCATTTAATAGTATATTAGATAAAGTCTCACTTTCACACTAGAAATGGTATCTTTTACAGATAGCTACATGACTGATTATAATTACTCATAGTCCTGTATAACTTTAACCACTCTTTTATACTTACTAACTTGTATGACTTAATAACAAAACATTTCATTAGTAAAATACCCTGGTTCACATGTGAACGGTATCAGTTTCACAGTGTATGTACTGAATATAAAGCTGGGCCCCGTTTCTCGAAATCTTTAACTAAAGATAAAATCCAAATTTTAGTAGATACTTCAATTTTGATTGGTTAAGCACTAAAACCAATCTAATATTATCCAATCAAATTACTAAAATTTGGATTTTACGTTAGTTAAAATTTGTGAAACAGGCCCCAGGTTTATAACGATCCAGTTCTAATTTAATATTCACCACAACCATCCAGATCGAGGTCGTGCTATTTGATATGGGTTATATCTTCTTCTCCTCTTTTGAATACTATTATAGTTTCTGACAACCCTCAGGGGATTAAACTGGGTACTGAAGACGTATTGCTGGCGTTGTGCTATTTGATAGGGGTTATATCGGTTTCTTGGGGTTTGATGGGGGTTATATCGGTTTCTTGAGTTTTGGTAGTTATAGATTGGATGAGCTATTTGATGTAAGTTGTAATACTGGGTGTTTGCCGACACAGGTAGACCGAATAAATCCGACTCGGTCTCTGAAATTATATAAAAAAAATAAGATAACATGCACTAAAATTAAGTGATTGGTAACTTTCAACAGATACTTAATATTGGTGTTATTTATTCCATTATAGGTAGACAAATACATCCAGTTGCTTAACCGACAACAGGTCGAATTAACTAGAAATACACCTATTGAATAGCAGTGGCTTTGTGAAGATGCTCACCACGAGACATTCATTCTATATATCTTTTTTTAGTAAACACCAATCTGATTAAAATACAGATCTATATTTCGTTTCGTTGTTTTATACTTTCAATGGCCTAAACTACATGAAGTTCTGACCAGTTGTATTGGAAGGTTGCGTCAGAGGTCATGCGACCCTACGACGTCAGACATTTGATTAACCAATCAGCATTGATGTTATTAGTGGATTACCCACAGTTCCGTGAAAAACACGCCTAAAGCTCGCCGTAACAGACCGTTTCATTGGCTTATCCCTGACACCATTCAGAACACGAGTTAAATAACAACTCTTCCAGATCCAAGTGTAGTCAAGACAAGTAAAACGAAATTTTGAACTATAAAAACGAAATAGGATCTGTGTTTTAACCAGATTGAGTAAACACTTGATTTGGTCAAAATGACGTCAGATTTGGTTACAACGATTTCTGATATAGTCATAGTGACATCTGATGGGATCACAGTGACGTCTTATAATGTAGAAAATAATAACAGTTCGTTATTTTACAGTATGTAGATGTTAATACAACACTGATAGGTGGGTTCGTTTTGCCAAATTGCCAACACAGTTCAAATGCCAAACATGCGTACTTTTGATAGATAGTGAAGACTCCGTGATTTACTGTCACGAAATAAAATTGATCCTGAAGGAATGTCAAATTTTAAAATCCAAAAACGCAAGATAAAGTATGAACACATGATATAACTTCTCGGTTATAGCGAAAGAAAATATTTGTAGACATTCCAACCAGGAACAAGTCGCCGTAGCAGGTTTTCCAGAAATACAAATTATGCCTTGCATCAGTTTAAGGCTTCCATTGGGGTATGACTATAATGTTATATCGAATTCCAACTGCCAAGGGATCTTTTACGTGCACGCTAATGTGTACACGGGACCTCGACCGAACGACTAGACAGCTGTCCTTGTCAGGCCCTCCGTCCTGCATCACATGTTATTGATGTAGCTTACCTTCATTATTGCTGGCGACATTGGTTACAGCAACTAAAAACATCAACAGTACTACTTTCATGGTGACCTGAAAATAAAGGGAACTATTTCTTTGTTTGGTTCTCGCGATTAAAGATACATTCCAATTATAGTATGACAAATTTGGCCTAGATGGAAAGTAGTGAAGCCCAATCTTACTAGAAAAGTACTGAATTCCCTGAAAAACACCATTGGGACAAGCAGTGGACAAAAATCATCACTAACTGGGAGCGCTTGTTATATCTTGATCGAATGATTATGGGTTTACACGCACAACAAACTCTGCGTTTAAGAGGTGGAGGTGGGGGGATGGTTAGCGCGTGTGCGTTGTATTATAAGGTCTGTCATTAAGTCAACTGACAAGGAGTAAGGGTCGCCTGTCCATCCTCGTGGGTATCTCCGGGTCCTCCGATTTCCTCCCACTGCTAAAGACCCCTACGCGCAAGCGAATTATTGAAATAAAATTGAACCATATGTTAGTACCGAAATGCTCAAGACTACTTGTTGAAATGGGTTTGTGGGTTACAATCATACAATACTGGGCATACCATCAACGATTATAATACGCAAGGGGTTGTCTAAACCTAACCCTCGGTGAACATGACATTGACTCAATAGCCAGAAAGTTTCGCGTTTAATCCAGGTGGTGCCGAGAAAACTTCCCAGCTTGGTTTTACCCTTATATATAGTGCTGAGAGAGAGAGAGAGAAATGGGGTTTAACGTCCACTCGACACAAACTAGGTCATTTCGGGACTAACATATGGTTTAATTTTATTTCAAGAATTCGCTTGCGCATAGGGGTCTTTATCAGTGGGAGGAAACCGGAGGACCCGGAGAAAACCCACGAGGTTGGAATATAGTGCTGAACCTGGAGCGAGAGAGAGAGAGGGGGGGGGGGTCTTTAGCAGTGCGAGGATACCAGAGGACCCAGAGAAAACACATGAGGATGGACAGGCGACCCTACTCTTTGTCAAGTACAACCGGGTATTCGAAACCACACCACTTGACTCAATGACAGACCTTATGATACAACGCTGCACGCGCTAACCATTCGGCCATCCAACCCCCCTGAACCTGGAGTCTGGCAAGGAAAGGCGTATACAATTTAGCTTAATGTCTCGATCTTCTGTGGCGTATTTATTGGGCAATATTCAAACTATTATATGTATTACAAACAAGAACTGGACATAATCTCATAACTTAAACATACATTATTCAAGAGTTAAATATGCTTATGACAGGTCTCTCTTTGGGCCTTAAATGGTATATAAACTATTAATTAGACATTTATTAAACACACCATTAGGCAAGAGCTAAATCTGTCTATTGCAGGTCTTTCTTTAGGTCTGAAATGTTATTTAAACTATTAATTAGACATTAATTAACTTATTCAGACCATAATCAACTCTTGGTGTCATCGCTAGCCTGCGATATTTACTGGATTAGAATCCGTTTTGCTGCTCTACTTTCATTTATGATTTAATTATGAAATGGATAAACGAGACTATGTTTTTATCGTACTGACTTTAGTAATAATGATCGAGGCTAGGCCGAAAATTCAATCGATAAATTCTCGGTTCAGAGTGGATCAATTTGACTGAAATTTTCAGCAAACTCCCTTTACATTATCTAGTTTTTACCTATTATAGTGAGAACTACCAGCTCTTTATCTAATCTCCCATAATGTATCTTTAACATGACAAGATCATTAACAACTCTCGATACCATCTGGTGGGTCCGATTTTAAGCAGATAAGAACGATTCAGTCATTTAATGAATTACAATAAAAATGGTTAAGCCAGGCTTAGCCTCAAACAACCAGTACGGCGATTAGAATCAGTGCACATATCTTGCCAAACCTTCAAAGGCTAATATCTTCGCTCAAAATAAAGTAATGTGAATGAAATTTTTAATATATTCATTTTGCATTATCTATTTTTGAACTATTATAGCAAAAACAGCCAACTCCTTATCTTAATCTTACACGATGTAAGCAAAGTTAAAACTGATGAATATAGAATCACCTCGACATAAAACCACCCAATCTGATTAAAATACACATCTATATATACTTTCGATGGCCTACACTACATGAAGATCTGAGCGGTTTTAGCGATAGGTCGCGTCAGAGTTCATACGAGCGACTTTTGACCTATGACGTCAGACATTTGATTAACCAATCAGCATTGATGTTACTAGTGGATTACCAACAGTTCCGTGCAAAACACGCCTAAAGTGCGCCGTAACAGACCGTTTCATTGGCTAATTGCTCACACCATACACAACACGTCAATGATAACAACTCTACCAGATCCTAGTGTAGTAAAGACAAGTAAAACGAAATTTTGAACTATAAAAACGAAACGAAACAGGATCTGTGTTTTAATCAGATTGAAAACCACCTCACCTTATATATCACAACCAGAGACTGTGGCGGTGTTGTCTTAACCGATCTTTAAAATAACGTAGTTATCTGTCGCCCTACTGCCAGTAAAATCAAATAAAGGTCTCGCTCTTTTCTTTTAAAGTGTTCTCAAAATGTCACATCGACTTCATTTACGAGATGTTCGTGGCTAAAAATGATATCTGTTTCACGAAACCTCATTAATGCCATCTTATCGTTTACTTCAATGATTATCTTCATGATTTTTATAACCTTATTTTAGAAAACTTTTATGCGCCGTAATCGCTTGTAAACAATGTGTCAGATTTTTATAAAAGAAAAGACATTTGAATAACATTAATATTCTTCCACTGAAAGCCTGTTTATCATTTCTTTCGTACCGTGAATGGTTTGCATCAAGCTGAAACACATTATCTGTCACGCGAATCCGCCCTCGGGGGAATTTATTATTAGGAATGTAGCTTCCGTTATGAATGGTACTTTACTACATAACGAACCATTTACTACAAACTGAATAGACTACTAAAAACAATACCATTTACTACAAACTGAATACTAAAAACAGTACCATTTACTACAAAATGAATGAACTACTAAAGACATTGCCATTTACTACAAACTGAATAGACTACTAAAACCTCAATCATTTACTACAAACTGAATGGTCTACTAAAAACGGGACCATTTGCTACAAACGATGCCAATTACCACAAAGCTCGTTTTGATTACTCTGTTATCTCACGTGACAAAGTACCAATAATTTGCCATACGCGTCACTGTAAAACAACAATATGATAGATAATGTTATATGTAACATGGTGTAACTGTGTTTTAAATGTGTAGGTATATATATGTAACATGGTTTAACGGTGTTTTAGATGTGTATGTACATAGGAATACAATCTTTAATAACATACCTGTCAACATATTATAAATACAAATTATACAAGTGTTGTTTCAGTGGTCGTAAAAACGTCAGATTTATTTATTAAACAATCGTTTAGTGTTGAGTAGCTTAAACATACATTATGCAAGAGCTAAATCTGCCTATATACCAGTGCCCTGGTTACCACAATGCATACATCTTGTCAAAACTCCAAAAAATGATAACTTGGCTCAGAATGAAGTAATTTGAATAAAATTTTCAATATTTTCATTTTATATTATATATTTTTAGGCTGTTATAGCAATACTGGCTAGCTCTTTATCTAAATCTTCAGATGTATCTGACTTTAATCAAACTTGATGTTTGGTGACGATTGAAAACAAAGTTCCATAGTGTTGACTTGGCTTTAGGCGTGACAATTCTTTAGCACTGGCAGACTATCGCCATTGAGGAGACGACCACTGTCGAGATTGGTCGCATTATTTCTGTTACGTCTTTTTTGTATTCCTTATTGTTTTCAAATTTGAGTGAAGTCTGTGTCACTACAGACCCGGGACTGGACAGCGCAGTGGACGCTTACGGCTAGCCCCCGGATCCATTCACTTGATTTGATATTTGTTTATTTGGTGCAATGTCTATTTTCTGTCTTGTCCACAGGTTTATCTTGTAGATTTTTGTTTTGCGTGTAGCGCGGTCCTCCTGCACTTACTAATAGATACTAAAATAATATTCAGAAACCACTCACTATATAATTTTAACTCGACATACGAGTGTAGGTAATAAATGTTTCAAGTGAGATGTTTATGGGGTAGTTATTACTTGTCGTATTTGATATTTAAACGATTAATTAACAGAGAAAGTTTTTTCATAAGACAGATTATTATTCTTGCATGAAACAAATGACTTTTTGTTTGCAAAAATAAAATTGTATTCTGATTTGAGCGCTATTAGTTGTGTGAACATGAATTGAGTAAAAAACAAAATGACATTTTCGACTTTTAATTACATTTTTGGTGTTGATTTGTTTTGTTTTATTTCTGAATGTGAAGCCAATGTCGAGATACAACCAATTTGATATTCAACAGTCGACCGTTTAATTATAAGCCAAGACTTTTTCCGTGATTTGAGTGGAGTTTTGAAATACAAATAGTTAAAACATAATTAAATCAGATTTAAATGTATTTATACGTATATCGACACATGTTTATAGTGTATGAATTATGTAAGCAACAGTCTTTTTACTTCTATTTGGGAGTGGGTTCGCTAGCCTAGAGGTCGCGGGTTCGACCCTGGTGTTGACCAAAAAAATCCATTGGGATTTTCCGGCATGGTTCCCCTTGTCAGTGGTGCAGGACGGAGGACCTGGCAGGGAGAGCTATCTAGTCGTTTGGATGGGACGATAAACTGGGGTCCCGTGTACACATTGACGTGCACATAAAAGGTCCGTTGGTAGTTTGAATTCGATTATAAGTGTAGGCCTAGCGCCACTGGGCAAAATGTCCCCCCAAAGCACACTGTATGGCGTGTGCCCGTCTTCATTAGCCCACTTCGAGCAGAACAGTCGGACGTTAAACCCCATTTCATTTTTACTTGTACAGAGTTTGAACATAGGTCATTTCGGAATCAGAGTGCGCATGCGTTAATAGGTATCTCCGCCATCTTAAAGTGAATCTCCACTAATTCTAATTGGAAACTTCATTACCGTATACCTCTGTTGTTGTATATTTCCACACCACGCTAGTCTTAGTCGTAATGTAGTGCCTTTATAGCACCTCTATCTCCACCCCCTTTTTGCATGTCCGGTATTATTGACTTTCTGGGCTCAAATCGATGAAGAGTGTTTGAATTTCCATTTGCTGCCTGGTGAATATTCATGAAATTTGGGGGGCCTAAGGATCAGGAAGCAAACAGACATGAATTATGGTGATGCCTAATAAAATGACGTCACTGTCTATAGATTCATTTGACCGGGCCTAGCGAAAAATCGAAATGGTCAACCCCTTTCAATATTTTTATCCGGGGATTGTGACATATTGAGCTCTGTGTGGTTATGATGATTAAAAAAAATGTTCCAAAAAAATTAAATCCCAAGACATGTTATAGATTTAACATTGAAGTTAATGTGGAGAGAATTACTAGTCTTAGACTGGAGCAAACTCACAGAGTTGTTTCCCTTTATACGTACTCGTGTTGTATCAATCTCCATTCAGACAGGATATGGAATAGAGAGAGGCTAGGTCATTTCGGGACTAACATGTAATGCTATTGTGTTTCAATAGTTCGCTTGCGTGTAGGGGTCTTTAGCTGTGGGAGGAAAGCCTCGAGGTTGGACAGGCGATCCTTCTCCTTGGCAAGTACTAGACCACCCAACGCCCCCCCCCCCGCCGCCAAATGGAATTGAGATTAATGTTACGTCATTAGAATACTACTTAGGTTATTTTGAGATATTGCATTTTCTTATATTTTTTTTTAAACAAAAAAAACGGGCACTAGTTCCATACGCTTGATAATTTTCTTCTTCTTGAGGCGATGATTGCCAAGAAGCCTAAGACTTCGCCAATTTGAGTATGATTGGTAGGAAACATGGCATGTTTGTTATTTGGCAGACAGACTTATAAATATCTGTATCATATGACAATTATTTCCTGTTACATATGGTACGCTCGTGTTTGTTAGTTCTATGGTTTCATGTATGATGTGAGATAGTAGAATTTTACCCGGGTGGACTAAGACTAGTAATTATTTTCCCTTATTTTATGATGTAGTGCGAGTTATAAACAGACAATTTTTCCTTTAAATTTTTTCTCCCCTCTTTCTGCATTTTTGGGTTAACTTTTTGGTCTAAAATTGGAGAAAAGGGATCAAATTTGCAATTCCATAGCAGTTTGGGGTAATACTGATGATATTACAGCGGAGGGATAGGGGGTGTAAAGTGTCTTTCTGCAGAAGTGAGATTTTGACCCCCGTCAACATCAAATCCCCGTAGCAAAAAATCTAAACTGTCAACCCCCTACAAAATTATGATGAGGAGATTGCCAAATGTGGTCACCATGGTGCCTGTAAAGATTGGAACCAGCAGAATGTTGAGCAAAAAGCTGCAGCCTGTGATGTTACAGCCATTTAACATTGAAGTCAATTGGCAAATAATAATAGCTAGTCTGAGACCGGATAACGAGCAGTGTTTGACCCCCCCCCCCTTGGACGTGACAATTAAGGCGTAGGGTCTCATGCCCAACCTCATGGGTTTTCTCCGGTCTCCTCCTAGCTTCGTAGCTAAAAACGTTGAGATATACTGATGTGCTTGTTTTTAGCTTCGATTGGATGCCTTTAGTTTCACCTGGGGGATCACGTGGCTAAGTGGATAAGACGCTAGCTCGCTAGCCTGGAGGTCGGGTGTTCGATCCCTGCATTGGCCGAGAAAGTTCATCCAGATTTTCTGGCGTGGTTCTCTCTTGTCAGTGATGCAGGACGGAGGGGCTGACAAGGAAAGCTGTCTAGTCGTTTGGATGGGACGAAAAACCGAGGTCCCGTGTACACATTGGCGTGCACGTAAAAGATCCCTTGGCAGTTGGGATTCGATATAAGAGTAGGCCGTAGTGCCGCTGTCCGGGCAAAATTTCCCTCATAGCACATTGTATGGCGTATGCCCGTCTTCATTAGCCCAGGTTAGGAGCAGAACAGTAGGACGTTAAACTCCATTTCATTTCATTTCATTTCATTTCAGTTTCACCTGGCAAACTTAGCTTTTTTATTAATGCATGTAACATCTTAAACACAACTTAATTTTCTTCTATTAGAACTTATTACATTATTTCATTTATCAGGAAATAATGACAATAAAGTAAATCAAGCGTTGTTTTTTCGGGTTTTTTTTCAAAATTGATACGGTGTACCACTCCTGCGCAACTCGGATCAGGTTAGTACTTTGATTGGCTATTGTATACGAGGTCCCGCCTTTATGTGTTAAAGACGTCAAATTTAAAATGTCGGAGAAAGCAAAAAGAGGTAGGATTTTCTGCCTAATTGTAGTTGGATGTGACAGAAATGTTATAAATAACAATAATCAATCTTTGTTTTGAAGACAAAATTGTCAATTTTGCTTATTTGAAGCCCGGTGGGGTTTGCCAGTTGAAACTATATAACACCATCTCTTATCTCGAAGTACGGAGGGTTCAGAGACGCGGTTTCTTATCTAGTTTTTCTCCCCCTGAAATAAAATTGAACCATATGTTAGTCCAGAAATGATCTGGATTGTGTCGAG